TTGGCCTGCGTACTGTATTCATTGAACACATCTGCCAATGTCAATCTCGTCTCATTTACAGAACGACCAAAGTACGGCTTTAAAAATTTAGATGGCGGATCAGTGTGTGCACGTATGCACACACATACGAATACCATTGCAAAACTATTAAAAAATAAGCAACTTGACTATACAGCAAAGATTAGAAACAAATACAGTAAATAAAATCAAACGCTTTTCTTCACGCGCTACCCTTGTTTCTTGTTGTTATTTATCATGCCAATAGCTTGCTAAAATTAATGTGGCCCAACACGATTTAGACACGTGATACTGTATTGATAATATATATCCCTATTGGACCACCGATATTTAAAATAAAATTTGGTAGCTGCCAAAATTGTTATCGTACTCGTCGCGGTCTTCACGATCAGTAAACAGTCGAAATAACGAAAATGAGGTAAACTAAGACAAACTATGGGATCGATTTTGATTGAAAATTGAATATATAAAAAAACGAAGCGGCCTGAAAATAGCATGCGGGCAGGGACGAGAAACTACTTTTTTTTTTACCTGGCTTATAGAAACAACATAGTATTAGTATGCTTAAAAGTGAGCTACTCTGAACAAATCTGTTTAGTGTTAAAAGCACAGTAAAATAGTCACTAAACAGCATTAGGAATGCAGAGATTAGCAGTGTTGTGTTAAAAAATAATTTTGCCGATGGAATAGGCCTATTTTACTAGATTTTTGTCTAGTTTATTTAGTGTTTTATTTCTGGAGAGAGGCCCTAAAATGTCTACCTTGTACATACTATAGACACAACAGTAACAACAATACAGAACTAATAATAAAAATATACTAAAAATAATATATAACATGGTAGGACCATTACACTTAATAACCTAAAAACATCTAAGAAAGGTCAAGAGAAATAAATAAATTTACATGAAAACAAGCATAAAAGTTTGTGACGATATGAAGTTCCATAACTCGATGAGTAAAAAATATAATCCCTTTAAAAAACAAGCAATAACAATGTACCAGAAAATAAAACATCCATAATGCAAAGATAAAAAGGAACGTTAAATATTCCAGCTTAAAGCATAAATATCTTATTATATCACATTATACTAAAAAGGTAAATGTGACCCAAGCTCACAAACGGGCTGTAAACTCGTCCTCAGGCCAAAATGAGTTTTTGTTATAGTGGCATAGAACATATCATTTACTTTAAAATGACAGTTAAATGAACTCAATCGGGTGTCTGGAAGCAAAGTTATGACCGTTTGAATAATTGTCATCTTATCAATTTTCTTAAATCAAGTTTTGAGAAAAATGCTTTTATTTTCGGCAGGTTTCTATTCATTTTTCATTAGCTCCCATCCGAAAATGGCTAAATTTTACCTCTTACAATTGGAATTTTAAACTCAAACTTCAGGAATAGTAAGATTAATAGTTATACTTTATTACACAAAAACCCAATTCACACAAAATTCACATTCTACGCCCTATTCTGGGTATTGAAGCTTGTTTCTCAATACAGTGCAGTGCGAGTTTACAGCCCGTTTATAAGCTTGGGTCACAAATATCTGTGTTGACCTGTAACTTCATAAAATGAGAATAAACCCTAAAAAATAAGTAAAACAGGATAAAATAACAAGAAAGAATATCAAACTTAATAGCTTAAAACATCTATGAAAACAAGGTCAAAGAAATAATAAACTTACCTCAAAAATATGATAAAATTCTTCGATGTCATGAAACCAAATAAAAAAAACACACATAGTACAAGAAACAAGTTTTACTTGTTAATGAGGCCTAAGAAAGTGTATATTTTCATGTGAAAGCCATTTTTTTTGGGTATAGCATATGGAAATACTGTTGATAATGTAATCATCAATTTCATGTTGAACAGTAAATTTGATTACTTGTTTATGATCACATGCAGTATGCCCAAAATTAATAACATCTAACAGATGGTACATTCACTTTCATCACTGCAGGAACCAGGGTTCTCATACTTAGCCAGGACCTGGATCATAGCTGGCAGAGGCTCCAGCAGTATTGATGGTCTTTGGCCCACTGCCAAATCACTCGCGTTCTCTCTTGTAGATTATTATTGCTCTACTCTATTATTGTTGGACTGGTCACTCACCCTTCGGCCTACGCAACTAGTCACATGGTAGTGGTCAGGTGATAGGATTTGTAAGGGAGATGTAAATAACGGCTTTTCTGGTATTGTTCTCCCATTTGATTGTCTGCGATGACAGTTTAAGGTCAAAGTATGCCTTGAAAAAGAAAAAATGAGGAGTGTACACATGGTTTTTTCCCATTTGATCAGTGGCATACAGTATATAGTATCTAATCATGGTTATTAATTTGACAAGTTGTGGGTAGTGGGTGGGGAAGTGGTGCTTAGTTTCCCCATTTGATCAATGGCATACAGTATATATAGTTATGGTTATTAATTAATAATTACAGTACAGTAGTGTTGGGGGAGGGGGTGCTGATGGCTGATGGAGATGTGTCTAATGGGGCTATTTGGGATCTGAATGGGGTCCAATACTTTAGTGATATTTATTTCATGAAAGGTAAAACAAAATACTGATGTTAATGTGATATAAAAATCATTACTGTTTTGCTCTGTCAAGTTTATATAACTCATCGCTATTTCATAACTTGTAATATAATTACTCTGAGCATAATCACTTTTAGCAGTTTGTATTTTAATAGAAAGATGAAAATTTCATATTTTATCTTGGACTGCGAATGTACTACATTTCGAAGTTGCCATAACAACAGAAATATCAATTTTTTATGCATGTTGCGAAAAAAAATACTATGGATAGGAGAAACAGAAATACACAGCTCATTATGGTCAGTGCACAATTGATGTGAACTCCATTTGAACCCACTTCTACAAAGAGCTAACTCGCGCTTTTGAATATATTGCGTTTTATTGAAACTGTATTGTTCGAAAGCTGCAGACGATTTGGGGAGTCTAAATTACATGCTCCTGATGTGTACTGAAGGAAATTGTGTGAACGTAGGCTTGTGAAAAGAGATTGAGTTCGAGTGAGAAAATGTCTTCATTATATCGCGTACTGGTATTATATAAGTGGGAAATAAGTGTATAAATAAATAATTTTTATATTTTTATATTGAAAATTTTATTGTCTCAGGTTTTTACCTGAAATTATAAAACATACGCGAAAAAATGCGATTAACATAGAAATCCAGTAAGGTCTTTTCTCACCGATTTTTGTGCGAGTATAAATTAAACATGTGCCTCCATTGAATATGAGCTTTGTACAATATATAAAAGGGGATGGTACACATTATTACATGCGGGGAGATACTGTAGTTACAGTCTATTACATTATTGAAGATAGTAGTAATATTACATGAAAGGGGACACTATTACATGAGATATATGAGAGGATAGTAAACATTGTGAGGAGATAGTACACACTATTACATGAGAAGAGATAGAACATAATTACATGTGAGGGGACATATGAGAGGGGATAGTACACTATTACAGTACTCCAAACTTAAAAAGAGATAGTACAAACTATTATTAAAAGGGGACACTATTACATGAGAGGGGATAGTATACACTATTAAATGTGAGGGGATAGTACAGGTATATGTTATTACATGTGGGGGGATAGTACAAATTGTATTTGAGGAAATTTATAATTCTCTAGATGGTAATTTTGTGTTAAATGTGTTGACTGTTAAGTTGTAGTCATTCCAGCTTCACTTGAAATCCAGGTTCTTAAATTCTTATCTTTCCCAACTTCTGCCCTCCTTCCTAATAACTACCCTTACCCTAACAATTCACCATCTTTGACAATGTCATCTGTCAATTCCAAGTCTGTGTCCAGCTGGGAGTAGCAACAATGAATGGAATGTCCAGGGAGAGTTTGACCAATCATGGCATGGTCACAATAAGTTGCTTTCTATTTGAACCTAGTGGACTTCACACTGATTTTGTGCAAGGTTACAACAACAGTAATGGTTGCCCTGGGGAATCCAGAGCCTCAACAATTTATATATAATAAATGATGTACTCCTGAGGTGTAGTAAACTTGGCTTAAAAACAACATTTTTGCAGGTGAATTTATCAACTTGAATACTGTATTGTTATTTAAGTACAGTTACCTTTCATGTCTTGTTATCAATGCGTGTAAAGATTAGGCCTAAATAAAAAAAAAAAAAATATGTATAAATACTTCCAGTTGTGCTTCCATTCAGCATAAAAGCACAGAATTCGAACATACAAGGCCAGAAAAAAAAATTAACATGTTTTTTGTTTTTTTTTTTTTTCTGAAATTAGATATTTTGTAGTTTCCTCAATATGGAACATTAATGATGTCTTCAATTTCTTTTATTATGTCACATTAAATGTCTTATTCATAAAATGGAATTTCTTCATATTTTATTAATTATTATCCATTGTGTTGTTTGACATATTTTATGCATTGTACTTCCAAATGTTTCTCCAAAAGCATATGCCAGTAGATAAGTTGGATATAGCAAGGTATTTTTCTGTATAACATTGAACTTATGAAAACATTGCCTTAAATTAAGTTTTATTTCACTACTGTACCCTCCAGCTCCAGTTAACTATATAGATAATTTGCATTATGGTAATTGGTAAACGACTGTGATTTTCGACGTGGCTTTTGATGAACTGTTGCTCTTTGAATCGGGAAAGCCTTGTTGGTGGAGTGAAACGTGCAGAATCGAGCTCATTAGAAAACCAGATTGTGAAGAATATCTGATTGCCAATATTCTTAAAATGAACTTTAGTTTAAGTTCAGGCTAACACTGCATAATATTTTCCTTTCATATTCTTGAAACAAACTCCCAATTAAAATTATGAATAGTTCAATGTTCATAATAACATCAGATAGATCAAAATTAAACAAGTATAATATGTGAAGCAAATACGTGTATGAAGTATGAAGTGAATTACAATAAATTAAAATTTGTTATCACTGTTTTATTTCTAGGGCACAACTGATGAAAATGGTAACAAACGTCAGAAATTACAATGTAAGGATGTCAACGAGAGGGAAGCAGTGGTCACATCCGCCTGGTCAGAGGGCCATCCAACGGGTCATGTTCAGCGACCATCTGCATTCCGGCCATGGTCACCGTCCGATCTTAAGAGCCTTTTGCCTGAACAAGGAACAGTACTGGTGCATGATGGGTAAGATATATTGAATCATGTATTTAAAGATTAGTTTTTGTCAACCAAAATACAAAAATAAAAAATAAAAAAAAACAACACAAATACATACATAAAATAATTATTCAATTATTATTAAAAATATAATATGCCAATAAATGTTCATATGTCATCAATTATAGAACCCACAAGAACAAATACATAATTTGTATCAGTAGGGCTTTGTAGGAATCTCAGTTTCAACTTTTGAAATGCAAAAATATACTGTTAATAACAAGAATTTTATTCCCATCGATACACTGGAATAGGCAACAGTTGTGCCCATGTGACAACTCACCAATCATTATTACATATATATTAAATATGTTTGGGTTTTTTTTCTTCAATTTCAGACGAGGTGCTCCAACGTTCCTTAGTACAGGACCACCAGTGCTGCTAAATCCAGAACGTGTAGTACCCCATAATGCATCTGCCTCAAGGTGAGAATTAGTCTATCCCCCCTTCCCTTGAACACAAAATAAGGTCATTTTTTGAGTGTTGGGGAGGGGGTCCCTATACTAGGAGTTATACTCCTAGTATTTTTATTTTATTTCCAGGCAAAATCAATACAAAATACATTAAAACTTCAGAGTACAAAAAACAAAAGGCTGAGGATTACGTACAGTAGAAGTGAACTTAATCACTATCCAAAATGTTCTCTAAACCTACATGCTTGATTCAAATCCTATCTTTATTTTTTTCCCTGGAAGTATTTATGGTAGTCAGCTAAGCTACACATTCATATTATACTCCAATGTGTGAATTATCTTTATATAAATAACATGTTTTTAATAATTTTTTATTTATCCAGTTGAATAATATGCAATAATTTGTATATACCTGTTGTTTTTATGACCTTTGAATATTTATTTATCTCTAGATGTATTTTTAACAGTAATTTTGTATTTCTTTCACAGTGCTGCCCCTAATGTTGCCCTTGCACCATTGTCTGTCCAGCTTGGCCAACACTACAGTCCAAAGAACAGCCCATCAAAAGACGGACCAGACAGCACCAAACACCTCAGTCCATGTAAGTACTTCCTCTTGATGACTCTTTGTAATATTTAAAATTGTTGAGTTTCTGATTATTCATATGTGAAATGTTCATAACCTTACTGTATGTATGTTTTGGAAAAATAAATAAAAATTTAAATATCTTCTTTTGTTCACATTTTTGAATTATTCTCAAAATAATTCAGCTTTGATCTAATTTATCTAAAACAAAACATCAGTAATGAAATGTCGGATTAAATATCACAACCTTGATGTGTCTTTCCTGTTTTTAGCATACCATGGCAACGAAGAACAGAAGTGTAATTACACGGACATAAACCTTGAATACGAGATTGAAGCCGTACGGACCATCCTTATGAAAGGCCAGTTGGATACACGAGAATCACGCGAGAACCTTCTGCGAGACCTCATGATGATCCATCAGAAACAGGAAGAGCGACTGAGAAACGCTTGTCAGGTACTTAAAGAGGTATGGATAATTGTTGCTGCTCGTTATATTTGGTTTGTTTACTTGTGATTCGGAAGCTGAACTAAGTTATGAATCAATCAATCAATCAATCAAACATTTTTATTGCATATGCGTACATGTCTCCTTATTAAAGACCCCTCCAATTAAGGACCACCTACAATTAAAGACCACTTCTCTGTGGTCTCAAATTAACAGATGTCTTTTATCTTTATTATTCTAATTAGAGACCAAAGCTGCTAAAGACCATGGAAATCCCGGTCCCAAAAGTGGTCCTTAATTGCAGGGAGACATGTGATTACCAATTAAATGTATTTATTATAATTATTATATTGAAATGATTCAGTTTATATTTATTGACTAAATATATTCAGTGGCTTTGTTTCATACAAAAAAATGTAATAATTGCATAGAATTCATTTTTAAATTCAGTAAACATATATCTAGTCAATCATATGGATTTATTGATTAATTATTAACAAATTGATCATAAATCTTAATTGTTTAAATTGGTATTAAAAAATAGTTGTTTTATTTTATAAATTTATGGTTTGGAATTTATGATTAGCCTCTAAAATGTCTCAAATAGCATTGATTTTTTATATAATTCTTGATTCATCTCCCAGCGATCAATTTTTATTAATACCAAATTATTAATTCAAAAGTAAAAAAAGAAAATGCTTTGATTTTTTTTATAGAGTTGAATTTTAAGAAAAAGGAAGGGAGATTTGAAAGTCAGACATGTACTTAAAAGGAAGGGTGTTGTAGACACTTTGATTATTAGCTGCCCCATGCTATTAATCATATGGATGGCTCCTTTCACAAACTGTGACTTGGATGAACTCTAACCCCAATAATATGAATAATTTTGAAGAGTTATATACTGCCCTCTGTTGAATTACTATAAACTAAGTAATTTGAGTTTATGAATATTCATGATATAAACTAAGCAATTATGTCATTTCTAACATTTTTATAGATATAAATGATTTGCAATTACATTATTTATAAATTTGTTTATGTTAATTTTCTAGGAACTTGAGTCTGTGAAGCAGTCCAAAAGAGACAAGCTTAGAGATTCGGCAGAGATAAAGCGACGACTGCGAAACGACATTGAGAAAATGTCTGCCGAACATGCTCGCAAAGTTTCTGAGATGGCAAATAGCGAAAAACGGCATAAAAAAGAATTTGAGCTCTTGCGATTCAAACAGTCAGAAAGCCACGAAGATCTCCATCTTGAAAATGTGCGTCTCCGTGCTGAAAATGAATACCTGCAGGAAAAACTTGAAGCGTTGGAGAGGCAAATCAGAGAAAAGAAAACGAATGGGTCTGATCACCGTGATACCGAAAGTGATAGGTCAACTTCTCCAGAAGCAGGAAGTCTCGTGAAAAAGACCGCAAAAGAAAGTATCGCAATTAAGACGGAGTCATAAAATACGAGAAGGGAAAACGTGTTGGAAATTAAAACTTAGGGAGACATTTTGCGATGAACTCTCACTGTGAAATAAACAGTATTTGAAATAGTTTAACAGATCTTTATCGGAACTGAAATAAGTAAATATATGGATGTGATTGGATGTGGTTGGATGTGGAAGGTGGGAATTGCCAAAATCAGTGAATGCGTGCTAGATCATGCGAGGAATGAATAAATGAAGATTTGATAGAATACGCAAATGATAATATATGAAACGGGTATTAGTATTCTGTGTAGAAAATCAGTGTGAGTCTAGTTTTATGTACAAAAATTTATCGTTAGCTATTTCCTGAGCAGCAAATGCGAGTGAATTTGTAAATATGTCTAATTGTATATTGTGTTTCCTTTGGCATTAATTTTGAAGTATAAATGCTAACATTGATTTTGATGATGTTGGTAAGTTAGGAACAGATTTTAACATTCATTTACACATACAGGAAAATAGCTCATTTGAAAATATCATTTATGTAACAATTCTTTGTGTATTCTTTTTAAAAAAATGTTATTAAATCCAAGAGTGGATAATTTATAGAAAAATATATATTATAATTACAAACGCTATATAAAAGGACTAATATGTTAAGTGTACATATATTTTTGTTGGAGAAGTTCCAATTCTTGTAAAACATTAGTAAGTTTATTGAAGGGAGATGGCACTGATCTAATTTACATACTCACTGCATTTAGAAGAAAACATTTGCATAACTTCTGTATTTACAATAGCTGATTTGCATATATGTATATGAGGTCACCTACTGTGAAAGGAAGTCAGATTATCTAAGTTACAAGATTTGGAAGCACTTCAACAAGACCCGCTGTAGTATTAGATGCTTTGGCTTTATAAGATTGGATTCAGGTAGGCAAATTAAAATACAAGATAGTTATAAATATATATTTGGTGATATCTCACCTATTTAGTTGTGAGTTACCTCGGTACATGTATTTTCCACTTTGAGAAGCCTCTGCTTTTAAATGCAATGCCCTTTGCTGATGTAATGAGTCCAAGTAAATCCTAGGTGAAGTAAATCATATTTATTCTCTTTTTCCAGTATTAAAATTTAAAGTCCTACCCTATCATACTTCATTTGACAAAAAAAAAGGTGTATGCCCATATATAGTCGTGGTGTACCTATATATGGTCATGATGTGATGTCATCGTGACCATATTAAGGCATGTTACATTTTTTTTTTTCGTATAAAGTTTGATAGTCTGTTCAAGGCTTACTGTGTATATGTTTTTTAGTTTGTTTTTTTAATTTGTTGATGACAATCATTTCCAAGTGTTGAACTTTTATATTTCTATTTTAAAATGTCATGACTTCCCTTTGTTGATATACCAGCTGCCTTACAAAATAGGTAGACCCAAATGTGATAAAAAAAATAACATGGCATCCATGTTACAGTGCATGATGGAATAGTGTATATTTCATAACTTCCTGTTTAAGGTTAAACTATTTATTACTTAACAATTAATTATCTTTAACAGTTGATCAAGGTTAAAATTGCCCAAAACTATAAACTTTAAATGCCATTAGTTTGCTCTAGAAGGAACAAAAATGTGCAAAGCTTTTAAAAAAACAAAATTCCTATAAAATTAGAATTCCGGAATATAAAAACGAGAAAGTAACATAAATTTGGCAAGAGATCGGATTATGATCAGAAAATATTGGTGGAACATCTGTTCTGTCAAGGCGATTGATATTTTAAGGAGAAAACCAGAACTTGGTGGAAGAAAAATCTGATCATGTGACTCTCCAGGATCTCGCTTCCTGTTGATTGAATACTGAAAGGTTAATCAGGGTCATTGATATCACAGGGATTAGACAATTGAGCATTGCTTGCTACCCTCTCTATAGATCTGGTTCTTGCCAGCATTGGGCAGTTCGCTATTATTCCTTTGATTCTTATGTCCTGTCCAAACTGTTAACTTTTACTGGACAAAAACATGACCATGTATAGGTACATCATGACCATGTATAGGTACATCATGACTATATATGGGCATACCATCATTTTTTGATAGAAAAGATGAAAATTTGATGGCCGAAGTTTTTTTTTACAAAATTTATCAAAATAAATTACTATTTTATACCTATGATTTCGCTAGAAATTCCACAGTTTTTATAATCCGGAAAATAAACTACATGCCGATTCTAACCTACTGTATTTTTCACTGTAGCAGTCTTGATATCCAATTTGGATTGCATTTATGTATTTTGATTTTAAATCATCTGAGTCTTATTTTGGTACTGTAATTGGTGTAACATGATACCATAATTTGTTGGTATTATTGTTACTAATTCATGTTAAATCATTTAATGTAATTTGATCGTATAATTATTTGTATATGAACATGCACATTTTCATAATAATTATATGAAAACTCGTACATAAATATTAAAATGGAAAATCCAAATTTATAACTTGCATATAATGATATATTATGTGTATAATATGCAATCCATATATGGAAATTCATATAGGAACATACACATTTTTATGATATATGAAAGTCATACATAAACATTAAAATGGAAAATCCATAATTGTTAACATGTATATAATGACATTCATATTAAATGTGTATATGAAAGTTGTATGAAAATTCATATATGGAAATTCATATATGAACATAATCAAATCGCATGAAAACCAAAGCAAAGATTCTTTCAATTGTATTTTTGTGCACACTAAAATCGGTAGTTTTTCTGTTCGAGGAATTGTAGCCTACAGTTTCAATAATTTTTTTCCTTGTAATGTATTCCAATATATATTTGATCATAACTGTAACTGAAATATTTACCAGTAATTATTTTTCAGCCACCATTTATTCAGTTCCCACCCTTTATCCTGAAATGATTGCAGTACCATTAAAATATTATTTAAAAAATCCTTAGTTTCATTAAAATAATTTTCATTAACATTTAGAAATATTGCTCTATTAGGTCTCAATGCTGAAGTGTTTGATTTCAGTGCAGGTACCTGATTGGCTACAATCCATCTGACATGTAAATTACACAGTGCATTTTTTAGTTAAGTAAAATGTAGAGTGAAGTATGAAAGGCCAATTATGTCAAAAATGTGTTAATTTAGTAGAAACTTTATCACATGCTGCTTAGATATAGGACCATCTTTGATTGAATGAGTTTTATCTTATATTTGTTAAAATATAATCAAAATTGATGAGTTTAAATTAATTACACCCCATTTTTTAATTAGTGGTCTCTAAAAACAAATTTTTAACTTATGTTTTAATGTATCTCTGAAATATTAATTAACAGCTCTGTTTAATCGTTTAAAGAAGATTTAGATTTTAAGGGGGTTTTTCCCCCCAAAAGAAAATTTGATTGCTCTTGCATTATGGGTATAAATAACCTCAGAAGCAGTCACTCCATAGTAAAGTATGTGAAACTTGTTTTTACTTCAGCAGTGGTTCATCTCTACAGTGTACATATTCACTAAAAATTGTTATCTGATCAGAGACTGATGTTTTGTTTACCAAAAAACGTACATACATCATGGTCACTAATTAGTAAAAAGAAACCAATTTTTGATGAAGTCTACATGTAGGGAAGAAGCTCAGAGTACTTCTCTGAAAAGTGTTCTCAATGCTAAAAATTGCTTGTGTGAGTATTAATATGAGGGCATTCTATTTTTGTTGGAACATTATTCTTGAGAAAATTACCGACGTCGGTTTTATTTGCCATTGCTGTAATGGTGCTTCACATACCTACTTGTGTGTATATATGTCAAAGTTTGTTATTTATTTATTTTTTCCATGCATATATTTATGATCATCATGATTTCAGACCTTTTAAAAATTTACAGTACCCGCTTCGTTATGCCAAATATATTTAGCTTTTGACTGTCAGTTTTAATCCATTATATATCTTAGTGAGGTAGTACAGTGGTTAGATCTTAGAGAAGCAGCTTTCTGATGAGCAGACATTTCTGTGCACGTTAATCCTATGCTTAATGAAAATATAAACATCCTGATTTTCATAAAGCAATCATGTGATTAACCGCATGTAATTATACATGAAAGCACAATTGATACGATATTGTGAGAAAGCTGCTTTGATGTGACGAATGGATTACAGACGTCATTGGCGGTATATGGTAATTAGTTGGTAAGAGATCATTTTGTCAGAATGGGTTTATTCGTAAAATTGATTAAAATCTTTAGTAAGCTGATTACGATATTTGTGTATCGTAGTTGTACAGGATTCTGACATTTTTCTCCTTCATGATTGGGGAGTATTGGAGATATATATTATATATATGTACAACAAAATACACGCTATTGAAAATAAGTTTACGTTTCATGTGTTTTCATTTCTGTTTCCAAATGATTGCGTTGGTAAGTGATGGTATACATGGGCCTAGGCTGGAGGATGCCAATGCACCTGCCCAGGCCAAATCTAGCCTTCACCTCTCATATATTGATGACTTTCAAGAACCTGAAGAGAAAGTATGAAGAGAAGACATGGTGAAAACCAAAGAATAGATAAAACTTTGTTTCCATACAATCGCTATACACTATTGCTGACAACTTTCGGTGATGATGATTGGTCGAATTCAGAAGCCTTTCGATTGCTTTGTGGACTGCTACGCAGTACGATTGACTGTAGCGATTGTATGGAAACTAAGCTTCACTGGCGCAGTCCAGGCCTTTGCATCATTCGCTGTGGTGAGGGTCAGGGTGAGAGGTGGCTTGCATCGTTTCAAAACCATCAGATCGTCTGAGCGTTAAGGGATTCACCTCTGCCGTGGACCTTGAAATTGACCCATATGTGTGATAGGGATTCATGGCTGAAAAGTTTCTAGTAATTACTATTATCATTGGATACAATAAAAACACATTCATAAAAGTCATTGACATTCTTCCTGCGTAGAGAAGAGACAAATATAGTGTGTCCGACAGTTAAAGTCAACTATGTGACCGACATGCTGAGATGACACCAGTGGCGAGGCAGGACCTTCGTTCCCTGTTGGCACAGGCTAAGCCCCGTCAGCTGCATCCTTACCGGCCCAAATAGAATTTCTTTGAGCATGTGTTCACTGCACAACTCAAGGACTTTGTCCCTGGACACTGATGGGCGTAGCAGCCATGTTAGCCTCTTTTAGAAATGGTCAGACCTTTTTTTTCAGCTTCCCCCACTTTTGTGTATCTTAAAGCACCTACTATCAGCATAAGGCTTCCAATTATGTGGTTGGAATCCTGTGCCCACACACTTTTAATTTGTTACGGACATTTAAAACAAATGTTTGAGTAAAAATCAAGCTATTGGATTAGATGGTATTCTAAAAAGTTTATACATTGATTATCTGCAGTTTTAATCGCATAATTTAAAAAAAATTATTAATGTACTTATAGAGTATGAACGATTTTTAATTTCTGGTTCAAGATGAAAATAATCACCCAGTTCTATAAAATATTAGAGCAAAGAAACAGTCTTTGCCAAGTACACCTAAAGAGCTTAATCTCAGTTGGCCTGATTCCCGATTTTATCTCATACAGTACTGCCTGCCAATTAACTCAGGGCGCACTGATTTCAGTGGCGGTCCTACCGGAGAGAGTGGGTGGGGGGAGGGGGAGGGTGGCTTTTGACTTGCCATTACCAAACACCTTTCTTAGGTCAAGATGCCCTATATTATTTTGTAACATTTTTTCAGTTCGGGAGTGGAGGGGACAAAATTTTAGGAAAATTCCACTGCTCAACAACTGTTCTCAGCCATATACATCTATTGCCATAAAAGTTTTAGACTTATTGGTGCATACATGCCAAGATTGAGAGAAGTGCTGGCTTGAGATTTTGCCACAGAAGGAACTCCAATAGGCATGGGTCCAGGGCTCGCCTAGGGGCCAGAAATGTTTTGCCTAGATGGTATCTGGTGTACTCTAGGAGGCCACTCTGTGCAGGTAATAGCTCAAATTTAAACATCGCAACGATTTTTTCTGATGTTAAAATAGACCTGAAAATAGTACGGACGTGTGGGCCTTGCCAAACCTTGCCAAAAATATATAAGATTATATAAGATTAGTACGTTTTTTGCAATGAGACTCGTGAAAAGCTGGAGAAGTGTGTGTGACTTGCGGGAGGGCTTAAGACGGGGTAAAAAATCTGGAGTTTTGGTAGGCATGTTGGTGTGGAGAACAAATCTCAAAGTTTAGGTCTTTTGTTTATCAATGTAGGCCTACAAAATCCATAATTGATTATCTTTAGCAACTTTAGCTAAGTTTTAATCCCTCAAATGCAAGATATACCTCTGAGTATTTCACTATCAAAACATAGTGTAAATGCATCTCATTTACTTAATTTTTCTATTAAAATTGGCCTCCAAACAATTTAGACTTTTTTGCTAGCTATCAAAATAATGGGCAAACTACCTAGTTAAAAATTTAAATACAAGTCATTTACCCCTATATATCAATGCTAGTAGGCCTACCAGAAAAAAAAATGTTTATGGGAAATATTTAATGGTAGTACTAGTAGTACAAAACTTTTTAGCCTTGTGCTACCATTTCTGCAATAAATTGTAGTGTTTCTAATGTCAACGTTTTACGTATCTGAGATGGTATTTCCGAGAGACAGTGTATATATTTATAATATTTATATAGATAAAAATACATAAATCAATCTATAGTTTCTCTGAGTCATATACATAAGCAATATATATTTTCTTCTCACATGCATCTCGCAGATGTATCCAATCTTGGCACGTTTGATGACTAAGACAGAGCTTCTATTTATCATTACATCTTAAGCTTCGCTTTAGAATTCTTGTTCTTATTTGAAGTGTAAGTCCTTGGGGATGACTTATACAGAGTGATCATTTTCAAAGCTTGGATATATTTTGTTTAGTTCTCTTGACATGCAGGAGAGCGGTTCGTGCATTTGATGTTTAGCCTCCATTCTCAAATATTGTCAATTTGTATCACATATGAATGAACTCAAATACCCCCTCTAAGCCTCATGATGTGCTAAGCATTACATAATTCATCTTGGACTGGCAAGATACTTGTAGCTCTTAGGAACAGTATGAAATATTTATTTTATTATCATTTAGTATGTTTACTGAAGTGACATTTCAGTGTGTAGTGTAATTATTTTTTTATCTATTATTATCTTCACAATCAAGGACCCAATAAGATGCATAAATTCAGTGATAGACCTTCAAAAATTGACATTAGAAATGTGTTATTTTGCTGCTCAAATGTTGGCCTACATAATAAATAGGCTGCTAGCACTGTGCATGCGTATTGGCAGCACCATTGCACGTGTGCAAAACTGTGTTTAAACATTTTTTTTGATGAAGTAAGCACTTATTCAATCAGCACTCTATCTTAACCAGTGACTGCTCAGTAGAATAACGAAAGAACTATTTATCTGTTTTATCAAAATTATAGCTAAAGCACAGTGGTTCTTTTGGTTAGGTGTCATGCTTAAATCCAATAGGTATGGGTTCAATCCAAGCAGATGCAAAGATTACAAACATCAATTTTAATTAACAGTCTACAATCCATGCAGATGCAAAGATTACAAACATCAATTTTAATTAACAGTCTAAAATAACTATTATGACCTATGATTTAATTTATTTAAATTTATATACTATGATATATATGCGCACTCGTCGGCGGTTAAACTGTTGTTATGCAACTGTGGGTAATATCAAGGAGGAATTTTCATCCTGATAAATAATCAGCCTCTATTCCATGTACTAACCGAAGAAAAACCCTACTTGTAGCCTCTATTTAATTACCATAATATACTTATTAGGATAAAAAAATGTTGTCAGGGTTAATCGGAAATTGGTATTTCTACTATAGACCCAAGGACTAATTTATGGTTCGTGATTAACCATTATTTATCCTAGGAATTTTGGCTGGTGAAATGGTAATGTCTGCCATTTACTTGGTTAACACAGTGGCAAACGAGGAATTCAAATTAGAGGGGGTCCGGGGAATGAATTTTGCAGATCGAGGGTCCAGGTAGCCAGCCTTACCACGGTGGGGTTGAGGTTTTATGTCTAGTAGCACCTCTAGATGGCTGGGATTCTGAATGGCAATTTGAATGCAATTTTCTTTTTCCCCCTTTTCTTCAATTTCAAAAATTAAGAGGACCCACACCAGCTGTACTACCTCCCCCACCCCTAGAATCTACCCCTCCAAGGCATTATAAAATTTAAATCAACTGAAGTTTCTATTTTCAACATAATTCAAGTACTGTATTTCTCACTCTTTGGAAAAATATTTATTTTGCCCAAAAAAGCTGACCCCAGATTTTTTTTTACATTTTTGGCCTAGGGCTTACTGCTGCCTTATTTTACTGCAGTGCACTCTCTAATTCCAAAACCACTCTAATTTCAGACCACAAAGAACTAAATAATAATCTTCAATCTATTAACACTAAGCCAAACCCTTTTGGTTGAGACCAAAACCCCTAGACCACTTCAAATGTTCAGGTCCCAAAGTTGGTCTCAAAGAGGTGGGTGAAATTTAATAATCTTTCTCTTTAGTATTCAGACATCAATTGTCATTAGCACAGTTTCTTTGGAAGCGAAGTAGAACATCATGTACTAGTTTTTCATATTAAAATCAATGAATTGTGAAATGATATTTTAAGTAGAAACGTCTTAGTTCAGAACTTCAGTAACATGGAAAGTATATTTTTAATTAGACTTCAGAATTAGCCCACCCACTGTATATGTTCACCCCATAGTTTTTTAATGATTTTCATATAAACAAAATATTTAAACCCTGATTATAAGTCAACCCCTAATTTTAATTAATTTTTATGGAATATTACTATTCTGTTGTCACCTCTTACGAATATACCAAAAATACCCAGTGTATAATGTCCATCCCATAGTGTATGAGTAATTTTCATACAAAAGAGTTTTAACTTAATTAATTTTCATGCAATATCAGTATTTTATTGTCACTTTATATAAAATACAAATTCTCTAAAAAACAAGCAAAAAAAAAAAAAATCCAAAAAAACACATTAACAATTTAAAATGTTATAGCAAAAAAATTATACACATACTAAGTGACTCACTAACCACCAAAGAAAATAAAATTAATTTTAATTCATGTACATAGATTCATATTACATAATAAATGACCATTTTACCTGGAATCAAGCATCGCTAATTCTGTTAGCCAATAAACGCGCCGAATACAACCAGTGAATCTTAAATTCTTCATCGGCCGTATCTTATGTCACAAGACTTTGGGAGCACAAGAGGGTGATTTTCAATTGTCGTGATATAATTGTAAAATTTCTAATTACTGAAAAACTATAAATCCTATAAAGACATATTTTGTGGTAAATAATAAATGAATTGTGTGTACCTCAACAACAGCTAAATATGTGATTTTGGGTGGGCAATCCCTTTAAAGCTTGACTTAATTTTCAATTATTAAATAGCCAAACCCTTAACTTGAATGATCCAAATTTTTTTTTAATCAACTGATTAACTGATTTTTATCAGTCTGATAAAAGGTACCTGTCTGGACCAGAAACATTACTGAGGTAACATATATTATTATCTCTTTGGTTCTAATAAAATGAATAATATGTTTGGTTTTGTCTTTATGAAAGGACCCCATTGGAAATACATAATGATACATCCTTATGGCCTATCCTTGTCTTCATATTTTTTTTTTTTTTGTTATGTCAGATTTTTTTCCTGTTAAAATATGTTTATCGCATTGAACAGAAATGTCTAAATTCTGAATGTTAATCTTTTAATCTCACTTGCTATTTTTTTTCTGGTTGTTAATATTTGTGATGATGTTTATCTTCATGTTGATAATATTATGAGTAAGTGATAATATTGAATTTTCTCAGACATTTGCTATTAATAATACAGAACAATTTGATAACATAAAAAAAAAAATTTTCAGAATTGTAAGGTTCTGTTTTGAGCAGTGATGTATCTAATGGGTGCGCGGGGGGAACACGTTCCCCCAGAAAGTACTCATTCGCCCAGTTGCCCCCACCCCAAAATTATGCTTAAGTAGTTGAAAATCATCTTAAACCACCTTATTTTGTGAGCTAGTGCCCCCTCACCAAATCATCGAACCCCCACTTCACCTTAGCACCCACGTAAGCCTCCCCCTTGATTTCAAGACTCTTAACATACGCCACTGGTTTTAATAATGAATATTTAAAAATAAAATAATGAATATTTAAAAACTGCAGGCGGGTGGGGGTAAAATGTGGAAAAAAAGGTGGTTACGCTGCTTTTCCCCCAATTTTTAAATATTCAAAAATCTCTATCTCATTAACCGTTTCTGTCAAATATGCTTTTTCTGTCAGTTATAATAATTCTTTATTCTTTATTGCAATTTTGAAAACAAAATTGAAGTTTAACAATACAGCAATCGAAAAATACACAACACGAGGAAGCCCATACACAAATAACGAAAGCAATACATTAAGAATAAAAACAGTACAAAGTAATATAAAATACACAAAAAAAGAAATTGCAAATACAACGTTTATATTAGGAACAATTCATTATTCTATACAATAATGTTTCTAAATTAGTAAATTATTTAATATTCTATGTAAAATACTTATAATTACTTATATACATTGCAATTTATTTATTTATGTTGAAATACAAAAATACATGGAAAAATACAATTCAATATAATTAGAAAAATAAAATTAATAATTATGTACACTAATTTACCTACATCATTTAAATAATTCAAATTCCATGTAAAATACCAATAATAATTACTAATATACATTGCAATTTATTTAAATTGAAATACAAAAATGCAGGGCAAAATACAATTTTAATAAATAGAAATATAGTCATATATAAAAAGTGGAAATAAAAAAAGAAAATTATGAAGTTATTATAAGTTACAAAAAGGCCTATCATTTGTTGAACATTCCAAAGTAAAGTACAACATATCAAAAAATTGTTTTCCTGCAGAGCCATACTTTAATAAATTGTGCATACTTTGTTGTTACATGTTTATTATTATGAAGGCTTTTAGCAATAAAGAAATGCCAAGAAACTGAAAACATTTTCAACTGAAGTTAAACCAAGAACATCTGCACACTCTGCATACTGTAGGTAAGATTCCCCCAGATTTGTAAATTTCATGAATGTATCATGTTGAACGGAAGCAATTTTACAAATGTTCAATAATTTTTATGATTTTTTAGCAACAATATGTACAGATACAGATGTACTTTATTGTCACATAAAAGTGCGAGACTCGGTTTCTTGTTACAGTAACATATATTAATTACTCACGCTAGAATCAAATTTTCGTTGAATTTTCTTTCGCCAAAATGGTGGAAGGTTTTTAATTTTTTCGCCAAATTGAAAATGCTGTAGCCAAATTTAAAACCAATAAAAAATTGCACAAAAACGGTTCCGTAAATGAATTTCTTGCTTAAAGGCATAAGAAAATACATAGAAAGGAATACGAAGTATACAGTATAGAGATATATAGACACAGTGTGTTGTGTTCTCCTTTTTTTCTTATTGGAAAATTTATTTTCAAGCGGAAACTTGTCCTCTACATGACATTGAAGTCATTGATTTGTACGAGGCAGCTTTCATTTCTGCTTGTCGATTTCAAACAGCACCTTGTTCATTTCCATTTTGCGATCCTCCATCCCACCTACTAGATTTCAAAACCCTGGTACCTATTGGTTGACGGAGCAGTTGCGTTTCTGTCTCTCAACCTTGAGGTTGGACGTTTGAACCTTCGTTGTGAATTTTGCTTGTGTTTGTGGGCGAGGCACTTTACCTATGTTTGTCTCTCCACCCAGGAATATAAATGTGTATCTGGTAGGATGATGTGGCATTGAATGTATTAGTCTGTATTGGTATTAAATTGTACGCACGACTACGAATAGTCCCCAGGGAGTGGACGTTGTTCTTTGTACCGGTTTCATTATGGATCCAATGATAAAGAATAATAACAACATTGCCAACACCTTGCATCCCTTGGTATTTATTTATTATTATTATTATTATTATTGTTGTTGTTGAACATAGTATATGCATTTGCCTTAGTTACAAGGCCATGGGTTTTTTCTTTGGATGTTATTAATGATTTTTCTACAAGGTTCCAAATTCAAACACTGTTAAATGCATATTGATATGCAAAAAAATATATCCAATTAGACATTGACCGTGACCTCTAAGTGTAATTTACTTACACTTGGAGTAGTTGTATATAGGTTTAAATACATAATCAGTGGTATCAAAAAAAAAATAAGAATACGGTTGTTCAACATAGGCCTATAGTTGAACGGCATTCAGTTTTCAAGTTTTATGTATAAATTAGTTCTCTATCATATTAATAAACACATTTAGGATGCGATCGCATAACATGGCGAATTATTTTCAAAAAAACATTGAAATCCTAAATTATTAAATGTGAAAATATTTTGTTATGATAAAAAGATTATGTTTAATTTGGCTCTACGTTACCTTAAAACATATCATTTTTTATTTTATCTTATTGTATTTATTTATTTAGGTGCACACACATGCACCAAGGATTGCCAATAGCAAATATATCACTGTCCTACCCTTTCACAAAACACAAACCATGCTTTTACACACACGATGCTTTACACAAACTAAATCTCAATATGAGATTTAGGGAGCGGAGTTGCTTTGGTCGTGAGAAAAAATCCTGCAACACTGACAGCAATTGAACCCAGGACCCTAGGATTTGAAAACAAGCACCTTAACCACTGATATATTTAACTCCATTTTCTGTTTGGTTTGCCTGTTTTGTGCAATCCTATTCATTAACACACTCATCAATATTAATGTTATCTAAATCGTATTTGTTCAATCACAAACAAATACTCCAGTAACAGCAATGAAGTGGCTTGTCTATGTATATAAATATTTAAACATATTAAAACTTGTTTAAACATTTTTTTAATTCAAATTTTTCTCTTCCAGAATCATTGCCATACACCAATGGTGCACTGATCTAATTGGGAACTCATAAAAAGTAAAATATTCCTAATAATTTAATGTTTATATTTTTCTTATAATTACTGTTCTTTTGATTTTTATTTCTGATTTGCATTTCTGATATATAATTTTGTTCATGTGATCCCCTTTTGAAACCAGTGTTGCGTCACTAAAAGTGCTTTCACTTTAAAGAAAGAATAAAAAAATAAATTAACACACTGTACCAATACTACACTTTTAATGCATATCAAATAACAAGTGTCGATAAAGTAGCTTCTATTGTTTTTATGCAGTGACAAAAGCAGACGAGTCTGGGGACTAAGCCACCAACATTCTGTTGGTGGGGGAGGTGGGAAATCCGACTCGGGTACAAGTAGTGTCTAAAATTGAACGAGGGTGTATTACGAAATTGCAAGTACGAAATAACTGAAGTTAGCCTTTCACAACTTTAAAGCCATTGATTTTTCCAAGCTTATGTCAACTTCGGCTTTGCATGCTATACTTAATAAATACTTGTTCCACTTGGAAGATATTATGAAATCATAAGATCTGTTGATTTTAGACTGACCACTATCACCATCAACCTCAGAGACCACGGTCTTACGCCATTGTCTTGCCCCAGTCGCTGTAGGCCCCCATTATTCAAGCTACAGTATACAGATGCATTTTAAATGCAGCGATATTTCCATTTGCTATTCTTTTTTGGTGTTGTTGACTGTAGCTATACTCCTCTCATTGCTTTAATTTACTCTTGTTTACTAATTGTATACATTGTACTGTAGTTAGTCTACACTTGAAGAATCACTTCAATTGAAGCCAGCACAGACTGTCTGCAAAAGCTGTAAATAAACTCATCAGTCAAGTTTGTCAACCTTTGCTTCATATTAACAAAATATAAATACACAATCACTTTGTTTAACTTTAATCTGTACTTTTATTCTTTCACATAAAACAAGTAGATATTTTCTGGTATAATTTAGTTGAATAATTTTTTTCTTATAAAAATAAGTCTTTAATGTTTCTCTAACACAAAACTGTACAAATCGAATATATTTTCAAAAGAGGGCGCTAGACATACTATTTTCTATGTCAGAGTCTAGACACGGTATGCAATAAACTGATCATTTATTTCTATGCTTAGTGTTAAAAATCTCCATAGGTCTTTTACCATTAATGTAGTTACTAAATATATATGGCCATGACTAAACTTTAGTATTTTAAATGTATTTACAAATTTCCTGTGTATACTGTAAGCCCAGCACCTCACCTCAGAGGTTTAATTCAGACAGTATAATAAATCAAGTATAAAATAAATTGCACTTAAATTTAGAATTAAATTTCAAGATAGGCTTTCCTAGGCCACTTAGACCTAAGCATTAGGCAGGATTCACCTGTGAGGCCTCACCTAAATTTGGAAGGCTCCGGAGGTATTATAAGCCCATTTCCAAATTTGACCCAATATATTGTATTTAATGGGGACACGCTATACCCGAATAAGAATGGCAATTCAAAATAAGGGCTCAATAGGTTTCTTATTCTAAGGAAAAAACATTGGCAAAGAGCGACAGAGCTGTGATTAAAAATAAAGGAAATAGTAGGTCATTTTTACATTCATATCGATAGGAAATGGGGCGTAGAAGTAGAAGTCACATTTTCTGTACCCATTGGAATTACAAATATTATACCCTTTTTGTATTTAAATAAAATAAATTGCTTAGTGTTTAATTAAATATAGACATTATGTTCAGATCAAATGATATTAAAGCAACAATGATAAAAATATCACTGTAATAAAAAATATGTAATATTAATAACAATAACAGCAACAATAACAATAAAAAACTAATTTACATTATTTATGTGCTGGTAACAATTTTCTTAATAATTTTTTTTTTTTTTTAATTATATGTTCTGAACATTATTGTAAAACTTAACAATGTGATAACAAATTGCTCATTTTTAAAAACTCAATTAAGTGTGATATTAAATATATTAATTCAAATAGTATATAATTTTCTGAAAAAAAAAGTATAATTTAAGGTCTTTTCTGCATTAAATCATATTGATTTCTTCTGGCACGTAATGATTATTCATTCCCAGGTAGCATTCTTGGATTAGTTGGGATTAGCTCAGCTTGGATTATGCAAATAATCTAGGATGTTTTGTAGATCCAATTAATTTAATCCATTTTTCCACTGGCCAATCATGCTACATTCCTGAATTGGTTGGTCTGTATTAAAGGTAGCATTTGTTGATTAACCACAGATTATAATCACCTTGGATTAAGTACATCTTTTAGGATATGTTCTAGGGTAATCCTACTGAATAAATCCTTTTTATCCACCGCCATGGAATTTATCTCCTTCTCCTTCTGCTCGGTGAAGGCCCGTGATTGGTGGATTTCCACCGCATACAATACGTTATGTTTGTTTGCCGAGCGAACAAATGAAGCGTTGGCTGACAGCGTCACCATCTCATAAAAATCACCAGTCCCGAATATTATCTGAAATTTACAGATGAATAAAAAAAAAAGTTGAGGATCAGTGATGGGTGATATATGTTACGACACGGGTTGTAACACCCAATCTCTCATTGGTTATCGTATCAACTGAGTTATGAGGTGAAGTACTGTACACATCGTTGTATTTTTATTAAGACCATATTTTTTTTACACAGCATTGATTAACAAACAATGGAAAGATAAATCATTTGCCACTTAAATTGTTTATATACATTGACCTTTGACATGTGCAGATAAAAGTAAGAGGTTATTGGTTTGTTGACAGGGAGCTTATGATTTGCACGATGACATATTCCTGGGACAGATTCATTCATCCTAACCGTTTTTCGTTCTCTATACAATGTAGATTCTTGCCAAACTGCATCCTAGAATCCTGACGATAACAATAACTCAAAGTTCTTGTAAATGACTAAGTTCTAGGTCATACTGTCGTCATGTAATCTAGGCTCACTATCATCCAGAGCTCTGCCGCTTGCAAGTAGACGACTTCATTTAGTGCCCCGCTTCCCAAACTTTTTTCTCTGGGACCCAATTTGTGATTTCCCAGACAAGCCGCGACACATGTAATAATAAATGTCATAGTAAATTGCACATCGACCTTATCACAAAAAATGTGATGCTTTATGTTTTAAAAAATGACCATTTGGCATTAGTATTACAGTGACTATTGTTTACTAATGATCTTCCTTTTGAGAAGTCAGTGGCAAATACAGGATTTGGTAATAGATGGGGCCCAACTGAGAGGGTTTTCACAGATAGAGGAGTCCATCTACCTCAGCCCCATTATGGTTGGGGCAGAGGTAAGATATTTTTTGATTATGGCACCCATAGATGGCCGGAAATTAAATTTTATTACAATTTTCCTTTTCCTCTCCATTATTTTTTTAATTGGAGGGTGGGGAAGCCTTGAACCCTTCACTGGAAAATGAGACAACTTTTAATATTTGAAAAGAAAATATAATCAACTTTACTGCAGAAAATACTTTCAACCATTGAATTACCCTTGGCGGTGACGTTAGCAAATTTGCACTATTTTGTACCTGGATGTCCGAAAATGGAACTTAATTTACCTTTTAATTCTTTTTATTTTTGATAAAATGAGTAAATATAAATCCAAATTAAATAAATAGGTGCCCGATTATGGCACTTAAAAACTTACAATTCTAAAAACTACCATATCCACCTGAGCCCCACCATGGTTGGAAAATTTAAAGAATTTGAGACTTATAGATACCAGAAAATAGCACTTAAATAGTACAAACTCTACGATATGGTTTTGGTGGGCAAATGAGTATATTTTAAGAATTTGAGACTTTATATAGATGCCCGAAAACGGTACTTGGATACCTAAAGTTTATGTGAAACCACTTTGAGATACCAAATAAATCAACAAAACATAATGTTCTTTAAAAGATTGAATAAATAATGAAATCTGGCCATCTTTTGAACGGCCAATAATTATTTAGGACGGCCACTTTTACTGTGACGGCTTGGACGGCTTGGCCTACAAAGCTCGGCCTAGCCTAGTTGGGCCTGGTCTACTTTAGCAAATTTTTAAAAATTCTTTGAATTTATCAAATGTTGCATTAAAGTAAAGCATATTTTGGACGGCCTATTTTGGTTTTCTGGCTAAACTCATGCCTCGAAGGCTTGTGAGGCTGTAGATCATTAGGACCCCAGGTCCTTTTTGCTTTTGGTGGTGCCCCAGGCTAGCCTCTCTATCAACTGATTTTTTTATATATCATTCACTGCTGCCACAAATAATGTACAGTAAATGGTTACAGTTTATTTTTCTATTTTAGTAAATGCTATGGTTTTTGTTGTAAATTGGTTTAAATCTTATCTCTATTGACAAAGTGACAAAAGAAAAAGCTCAAACCTGCAAGCACAAAGCAGCTAAGTAATTGGTTTCATTACTAGGGTTTGTTTATGCAATCTTTTGCCTAAAGTTGCATTTTCATTTACGCATCTAATTCAAGTTGTTCGTATTAAAGACTGACAGAAGTGACTGGTGTAGGGATAGTAGATCGTGTGTTTGTGCAAAAACAGTGTGAACAAAGCCGTATCGGACAACTACATAGCTGTGGTCGTGTGGGACGTCGACAACAATATCCAAGGGAGAGACTTAAGACAATTTGAACCCTAGAACCTGTGATTGAAAAAGAAAGCATTTTAAGCCTGGCAAACACTGTGTGAACAGCCAATGCATTTCCATTAACTTCAACTATACTCAGCCTGCCACCGATCAGAGTTGTGAGGGTCAGCTGGTAGTGTTGCACCAGCTGAGACAGAATGCACCAGACTTCAATCATCAAGGTACACCTGGTCTTTCATATTGTCAAATACCATACCGTCTTTATAGACAAATCCAATTAGAATAGGGCGCTTTATATTGGCACCGCAATTGGCGCGAAGTACTAAGGGTAGATTATGAGGAAAAAAAAATAATGTAAATCATATATCATTCCAGTATTTACATTTGTAGTAGATGATTAAGTAAGAATCCCCACCAGAGGTTCCCAGCTATGGTGTCTGAAGAGAGATAATAATCACTGTAAATGGATTGGTCTATAGGTTCTAACAATCCCTTTTGGGATCATCCCACCCATGGTCCAGAAAAAAATAAATTTCAATGGACCCCAAAGGAAATGTAAAGCATGTTTTCAACAAAATTGCTACAAGCTATCGCTGACAGCTTTCAGCGATACTGACTGGTTGGTCGTATCAGGAAGCCTTCCCGATAGTGTAGCGATTTTAAGGAAACCCAAGCTTTAGACTTAAATTATTTACCTTTGACCTCTCCTTGATTTTGTTGCTCCAGATGTGCTCCTGTGTTCTTGTTGATATACAGTCATCCATGACAGTTACTTTTGACAGCAGTCTTTCAGCTCTGGCTTGTTCAGTTGGACCTCCTACAGTGTTTACATTATCCTTAAATCCCTCTACAGCTGTCTTACAAGCAAATAGTCTTTTACCTGAAAGCGATTACAAGGCGGCTCATAATTAATAGGTTTATTATACAGTATTACAATAGTTACCAACAAAGTATGTAGTTTGCTTATCTTGTCTGGTTAATCAAAGACAATTAAACTCGTTGATCCCAGTTAACTAGGAAATTTGGGCCAGGCCCTTGGATGGTACAGTTGCCAGTAGGGGATTCAAGGGAAAGGGGGAGGACCAGCCAGTCAAGCCTCTCCCACCCCTAAACTTTTGGATACCTTACAACAACGGAGAAAAAAAAGAAAATTATGTTCAAATTAAAGCTTTGCACACCATTGCCAGCCTTCTAGAGGCGCCATAGCCATTAAATTCTATACCTCAGCCACAACCATGTTTGGGGATTAGACCCTTGATCTGTAAAAGTCCCTTCCTGGGTCCCCTCTATGTTGAATTTCCTGATCTGCCACTAATGGTGGTAAATTGGGCAGAACACCAGGAGACAATCCCTTGCTCTTTTCTGTATTGTGCCTACATTTTTCAATGTGCACTGGGGCCATTTTTTATACAAAACATTGCAAATTTCTCTTGCTAAAAACAACTAACTACAACCTGTATTCAGAGAGTACCTTGACAGGATACAACCAGTTCACCAAGTTCTCCACGGTTTGGTGCATATCACAGTAGTCATTTGAGTGGTGTAACACCGGGGCTTGGGGCCCTGTGGCTTCATTAAGATTGGGGGTCTTTGTAGGCCTTGTTGATTGCTAGACCACCAAGGTTGTGGTGGTAAGGGTTCATAGAGAAAACAAGAGGTCTTTACCGACAACTACTGTTTTGACCTCTCACTAGAAAAAATTAATTGAACATGCTTCAATTGATTGTAAAATGACAACGCCACTGTTACCTTTCATGAAATTGTACAGGCAGGTCAATTGGGGGCGCTGCCTTTCCTCCAGTGCCTGCTTGTTAATGGGGTTGCATTCTGGGTAACTATACCAGCATCCATCATGAGTGAGATTGCTGGTTAGTGCAATCATTGTTGTCACGTCCAAATTCACTTTATTTTGACGCGGGTCGTTTTCAGTCACGACTTTCAGCTGTTGTAGAAAATTACAGATTAGTAGCAAATGATAACAAGAACCTATTAAATTATAATCACTAATTGTGTATATTCCGTGGGGTGATTGTGTTTTCCATAAGTTGCTTATGTTGTTAATTTATAACATTAAAATATAACCCAAAACAGTACTGCCTTGGGTAGAATCCTGTACCACTTTTGAAAACAATAAAATTGGCAAAGAAGAAATAAAATTTCAATTATACGCCATAAAAACTAACCTCTTTTAAAACTGACCAATCAAAAGAGGGAACTGTATCATTTCTATGATCGTCTGCATCATCAAGCACATGACCATGTGTTGCTATGCCAACAGAGTGTAACTCTCCTAATTAAAAGAATAGGATATAGGTTAAGATAGGTAAAGCAATACAAGTTTGATGTAACAAGTTATATAAATAGTTATGTAAAATTCTGTCCAAACTATCAAATTTTATGTGACAAATAAATGACATCATCATGACCATATATGGGCACATCACACAAATTTGTCACATAAAATTTGACAGTGTGGACAGAGCTTCAGAACAGTAACTGTTGTGTGATATGTCTGTAATATGACATCATCATGACCATATATGGGCACATCACACAAATTTGTCACATAAAATTTAATAGTTTGGACAGAGTTTTTGTTTAGATATTTTTATCAGTTTAAATCATTAAGTTACACAAATCAATGGTGATGTTTGTAGTCTATGAGCGGATACTTACAGTGCCTGGATAAACCGACTTATTGCCTATTCTCTCCAAAAGAGAACGCTCCTCAAGTCAAAAATGGAAGTCGGCCAAAAGTGAACATAAAGCAATCAGCCAATCAAAACACTGAGGAATATAATTACTAACCTTGGATTGCAGAAGTAACGCCGTTGAAAAATATGACATGCACTTGAGGTACGATGAATTTGATTGGATGTTCAGATGCTACCTTCTTATACTCCAGCGCTTGTTCAACTATATCTTTATCACCATAGTCACCCTCACCTAGAAACCAAAATACACATTATTCTATGTTAATGTGATTTTTTGTTTTAGAAATGCATTTTAACATGTCAACTTGCGCCTGTTGGTTAGTATATTCCGTTGAAGTCAATTAAAATCACAAGCAAGCATAATGTGTCATCATTATCACTATCTTTTCTGTTGATTACAGGGTCCCAAGTTGGAAAATTTCAAATCCGGAAGACCTGTTTAAATTTTGCTGTGCATGATCATACCCATCAGCACCGACTTCCAGGAGACAATTGATAATAGTAGTAAAAACGTGAATTCCCGGGAGATTGGTTATCTTCGAGGAGACTTTTGCTAGCTCGAGGGAGTATGGGAGGCCTTCCTGATTTCTGGGAGACTCCCTCGACTTACTGAAGACTTGGGACCCCTGGATTATCAAGAGTATAAAATTATGTGAATTCTGGAATAATGCTGTTATTTAACAGGATCCCTTCCCATAGCTCAAATGGGGCGCATACCCCGCACCTTCAGAGGCTGAAGACTACTCAACAATATTGACTGTGTGGCCAAGGATGTCAATCAACAGACATTTAACTTGCCAACACTCATGAGTGACAAAGACTCCTGGTGACGCATTGTGCACTTTTTTTCCGTCAGATGCATCTGCATAAAGTAGGGTTCCTCAGTAGTGTTAATGAGAAATCAATTAATTTAAAATCCTATTGCTATTTTGAGATACAGACCTTCCCAGATGCGGTGAAGTGCATGACCTTTCCTTGCTGTGACCTTCACCCAGACTGCACCATTATTTGAGATGATATCAACACCCAGTGTTTTTTTGAATTCATAATCATCTGTGTAGTGTTTATGACAAAAGATGTCTGTGACGTCAGGGAGGCTTTCAGCGGCACTTAGGACGGTCTCCAGATGGGTGAGGTTGGTGCTCTGAAGCTGGTTGTCCTTAGGTGGCACATTTCTATTCTCCAACTATGGAAAAATAACTCTTTTTTTATCATTTTAACAATTAGGCAATGGCTATCAAGTATGCAGAAGTTGTTGAGGGAGCTACAGTAGCGGAGTGGAGTTGATTAGCTTGGTGGTTAAGATGCTTGCCTTCTAATTCCAGGGTCCTGGGTTCAATTCCTGTCACAGCAGGACTCACAACCAAAAACAACTCTAATCATGACTTCCATAGGTCATTTTGCCCTTTACATTTGTATTACGCTGGACATTGGATTAAACACATGGACCATAAATTCAGCTCCCTGGGGGAGTATTCCATAACACTGCAGTAGCTACATCAGTGCATTTGACATTTAACCCTACCAGGTACCCACTTATACTCCTGGGTTGAGAGAAGCAATACAAATAAAAGTAATCAAAGACAAGTGAAATGCACAGCGAGGGATTGAAACCCAGATTTTGAGGTAGAAAAACCAACCTGTTCCCGCTGTGCCAAACCACTTCTTTTATAGTTGGAGTTGATAAGTTGAGATCTCTTAAGCCGAGCAATCATTGCGTCTAACGGTTGTCGGCTGATGCAAAACTATGAGGAACGCAACGCCACAATGCTCGCATAACGAACTGTTGTTAATGACAATTCGTTCAGACTGCCACTGACCGTCAGCAGACAGCCTCGCGTTGTCTGACACTCGTAGAGAGCAGAGTTGGATTTCTCTACTGACATATGTACAACTGTTGTACGAAGCAGTTGAGTTCCCGGTTGCTTCACTTAAATGCACAATTAAATTTTTTATTAAATTTTAAAGGTTTTTTATTAAATTTCCCTCACTTTTTTTAGTGGCAACATTAAATAGAATGGAACTTTATAACTTACAGCTAGAAGAAAGTTGAGCTCTGCTTTAACTTTTCTGATGAACTTTGGTATGCTTTTAATAGATGGTTTCTTTAATTCAAGATAATCTGCTCTCTTTATAAGATCACTTGCTTTATCAATGAGTGGTTGAATGGCATTCATTGCAAGTTTTGCACATCAAAAATTCCTGGAATGAATAATAATTTGTTTAAATACTAAAAACAAAGAGTAACAATTTGAAAGCAAGTGGCAAGACAAAAATTTGTCTTTGCCTAACTTGATTAATTTCTAGGTCGATCTTATTTAATGCAAAATTGTTGTGTTTTCCATTAATTAATGATCTGTAAGTCAAATTTTATCTAAGATTTTTAATGCCGTTTTGGATTCGACTTTTGGTAAGTTCAACTGTATAATATAAAGACTAACTCTTTAATGAGGTTCTGCCATGACTATTTAAAAATTAAGAAAATTGTCCATTTTCATAATTTTCATTATTAACATCAATATTACACTATTCGGCGCCCATACTTAACATACGTTTTTTTTTAGCACCAATTTCAATTTGTTTTTTTTTTACGCAGTTTGGTTTTGCTTGCTTGAATCCGGGCCTACATAGTTTGATTCAGTTCACTTTTGGGGATCCTCTCTCAATTTGTTATTTTTAACCTTCTTTAATGGTAGGAATATAATAAATAAAATCAAAACGAGCATATAACAATTTGGCTCCAAGTTGACTTTGCATACTACTAATCTATGAATGATCTAGATTCCAGGCATAGGCTCCCTAATAGGCTTAGCTTTATGCTAGAACCTAGTAGGCTAGTACTGTAAGTAGTTTCAGGTAGAGGGCTGAAATACAAGTTACAATAGCGCAGTCTTTCGGATGAGACGTTTAAGCCGTTGGTCCCGTGTGCATTTATGGCACATGTGCACGTTAAAGAATGCAGTACACTCTTCGGAAAAGAGTAGGGGATTGTCTCCCAGTGTAGCCCAATCACCACCAGAAGGACCCCACTGGAAGTAAGTCTTCTTCTAGACTTTCGTGGGCTATCCTCTTGGTGTTTACCCCGAATTAATCCAATCCAATCCTGCCCCTCAGGGAGCAGCAGACACTATGTTATCGCGCAACAGTCGACCTTTCTAATTCCGGTGGAGGTCATGTCTAGGCCTAGGCTAGGCACTAGACACCTAGGCCTACTGTAGGTGGATATCATATATTATATATACACGACAGTATATAATTAATATCAACAACACCACCACCCCCTCCTCTTAATCTAAATGTTAAACCATTAATCATTTTCCACATCATCGTTCTATAAAATTAGACACACGCTCCCACTGGGAGCCTAGGCCTATTTTTATGTCTTGCCTAAACGACGACTAGCCTAGTTAGGCCTTCCCTTAGCCTAAAATTACTTAGCCTAGCTAGGGCTTGGCCTATCCTACCTGAATACCCTCCTACCTACTCTAGCCTTAGAGTAGGCCTAGCCTATGTTGTATAGTTGCCTAGCAGACCTACTGTAAATGTTATAACGTCGTCATACGACTAATGGTATACAGTAATTGCACAACATTGAATCATTATGTGTTTCCCCAACCAATATCAAAATTATCCAAATTTGTCGATGATCTCCACCGTACCTCAAAGAAATATTCCCCACAGCACCATTCGTCGTAACATTACATTAATACAATATTACATACTGCCCTCTGACGATCGTATTAGGCGAGGAGGTGCATCACGTGATTCATAAACGCTCTAATAAAATTGAAGTATCACATGAAATCTAACAATTAACAAAATTGTGAGAACGATTCTAACAAACCGCGAGAGGGCTCTTTTCCCCGCGTTTATGTTGTTTCAGAGCGTGTTCTTTGTGTATATCCTTCAATACGTTACATCGCAGGGTTTAAAAAAGTGAGGCATTTATTTGTGCCAATAAAACCACATTAAAATGCCTAAGCCCAAAGCAGTAAATAACGACGTACCAAAAACAGCTGAGGCTAAAAAGAGAAGAAGAAAACCCAAGAAAAATGAGGATGGCGTCTCCGATGGGAAGAAAGTCAAGATGGAGACATATCTTACCCCTGGGGAAGAAGTGGAAAAAATCGTGAGTTCACAACGATCGGGTCACCAATTATCGGCCGGATGCTCTGAAATTATTTTTGCACCAGGTCTTTCAAAAATGTGTACACCTCTTCCTAGGACATTTTGAACAAATATTGTTTGGATAATCATAGAGAATACCTCTCATTCGAATAAATTTGAAAATCCCTCCAAAATTAATGTTATTTTAAAGTGTTGTGTGTACATAAAAAGACTGAAAATAGGCTGGACTGGCCAAGGCCTAGCCTAGGCTAGCTAGGTAAGCCTTGGATTGTCTATAACAGCTAGCCTTGTGGAAAAGACAAACATGATTTCACTTGCACTGTCTATAGTGTCCCTAATAATTAGTTTTTATTTACTTTACAGTATTTGTTAGTGTTTATTTCAAGACATATTTCTATGAATTTATAATTTAATCATGAAATAGTTTTTAAAATTAAATTGTTTTTGATATTTATTGTTGTCATAAACTCTAGCAGCACTGCATCATGCTGAGGCCTAGCAAATATTTTAAGTATTTTTTGGTCAATAAATAAAGGTTTGTTACAATACAAATAATAGTTGCATAATACTCTTTATTTTTTGACACTATGGATTGTTGTGTTAATCCTTAAAATCCTCAACATAGAAAAAATGCTAACTTGTCGTAGGGCTTACAAAAAAAAATTGTGTGAAGATATTATATCTTATAATAGGTCAAGGGACCCTAGGCCAAAGTTCAAAGGCATCTGACTTACCAGTAAACAATGTTCGTAATCGAAAAAACGATAAAAAGTGCAATAGAAATTATTGTTTTACCCAAGGTTATGTTCAGTTGCCATTTACCCTTTGATTAATGTTTTGGTACGACTAGGCGATGCTGTTTCGGTTTATTGTCATTTGTTGGCTGTTTTGTGTAATTGCCATTTTCATTTAAAATCAGGTCTCTTTAGTTCTAAGTGTCCCCGTCTTGAACGGCAAAACACTTGCATCTTCAAGTCCAGATTTAATTGTTATGGAAGAGCATCTATGCAAATTTACCACCTTCTGCCTATGAGCCTATGTTTTGTTACTATTATTAGGCCTCTTTACCAACATCACTAGAGCACCTGGAAATTCACTTAAATTGTAGGGGAAAGGATAGTACGGTGGTCTTCAGGTCTGTTTTTGGTTCCTACGCTGTAAAGCAAGAAGAATCTTTGCAGTGGCCTGGCTGTGTTCCTCCATATGTCCGTGATGCTGACATCATAAATTTGCCAGAAGTTGGTAAACAAGCAAATTTGAAGAATTTCCAAACACCTATTGGTTATGAATTTTTGTATGTCATGTTATTGTGCCCTATTGGTTGAGATCACTTTTGGATAATAAACAGTGGTGGATTTAGGAATTTGAAATAGAGGGGGCCCGGGTAGGGACTTCGACAGATAGAGGATCTACACAACCTCATCCCCACCATGGTTGGGGCTTAGGTAAGAAAATTTACTATTAATGTCACCTCTAGAAGGCCGGAAATGGTACTCTCAGACTTATGTGGCAAAGACAAGCCAAACCAGTCACTCTTCGCAAATCGTTTTTAGAGATATTTGCCAAAACATCCCGAAATGTCAAAATTTTTGAAATCTATTTTATTGCACTAAACTAACATTTATACATCATGATATACTGTTGTTTTCCCCATTTTCAATGTTAAAACAATTTTTAACAATTTGTTGATCTGGTTTTTGCCTGTAAATGCCTGAAATAATCAACTTTGAAGGCCGATTTCTCTTTAAACAGCTGTACAGTATGTTTAAATGCTTGTAACCTCATAAGGAAATGTCAGATTTAAATGATTCTTTTACCATTTTATAACTCTCATTTTCATTTTTAACACTATAAATTTGAATGTTAATTTTCTTTTTTTTCCCCCCTATTTTTTAGAATTTTGAATAATTGAGGGAGGCCGACAGGGGCCCCTTGATAAAGCAATACACAAGGGCTTTATTACCCCCCCCCCCACCCTTCCCACCCAATTCACACCTCTATTCAAGACTAAGAATAATAGAGCATCAGTGCTACAGCTGTCTCTTATACACATCTAGATGTGTATAAGAGACAGCATTACATTAATACAATATTACATACTGCCCTCTGACGATCGTATTAGGCGAGGAGGTGCATCACGTGATTCATAAACGCTCTAATAAAATTGAAGTATCACATGAAATCTAACAATTAACAAAATTGTGAGAACGATTCTAACAAACCGCGAGAGGGCTCTTTTCCCCGCGTTTATGTTGTTTCAGAGCGTGTTCTTTGTGTATATCCTTCAATACGTTACATCGCAGGGTTTAAAAAAGTGAGGCATTTATTTGTGCCAATAAAACCACATTAAAATGCCTAAGCCCAAAGCAGTAAATAACGACGTACCAAAAACAGCTGAGGCTAAAAAGAGAAGAAGAAAACCCAAGAAAAATGAGGATGGCGTCTCCGATGGGAAGAAAGTCAAGATGGAGACATATCTTACCCCTGGGGAAGAAGTGGAAAAAATCGTGAGTTCACAACGATCGGGTCACCAATTATCGGCCGGATGCTCTGAAATTATTTTTGCACCAGGTCTTTCAAAAATGTGTACACCTCTTCCTAGGACATTTTGAACAAATATTGTTTGGATAATCATAGAGAATACCTCTCATTCGAATAAATTTGAAAATCCCTCCAAAATTAATGTTATTTTAAAGTGTTGTGTGTACATAAAAAGACTGAAAATAGGCTGGACTGGCCAAGGCCTAGCCTAGGCTAGCTAGGTAAGCCTTGGATTGTCTATAACAGCTAGCCTTGTGGAAAAGACAAACATGATTTCACTTGCACTGCCTATAGTGAACAACAATTTTTAACAATTTGTTGATCTGGTTTTTGCCTGTAAATGCCTGAAATAATCAACTTTGAAGGCCGATTTCTCAAATATTGTTCTTTAAACAGCTGTACAGTATGTTTATTAATGCTTGTAACCTCAAGGAAATGTCAGATTTAAATGATTCTTTTACCATTTTATAACTCTCATTTTCATTTTTAACACTATAAATTTGAATGTTAATTTTCTTTTTTTTTCCCCCCTATTTTTTAGAATTTTGAATAATTGAGGGAGGCCGACAGGGGCCCCTTGATAAAGCAATACACAAGGGCTTTATTACCCCCCCCCCC